CAAATGTATTGACAACATGAGAATGAATCTGATGCCCAGTGGTGATGTGAAACAAACCCAGGTCCTGGTAATATACTAAGACTGATTAACAAAGAAGTCATGTACATCAAGGTTCACTCAGATTTATGAATGCAGTTTCTTGAGCAAGTATACATGTATGACAAATAGTTTTGTTGCACTTGTGTACTCTGAGATTCTGAACATGGGTCAGTGGAAGTTTTTAGTTGTCAGTACAAAACTAGATTATGGGAAATCACTTGATGATGAGTTGTACCCACAAAGAGTACATATTTATTCACCTGTTTGCAGATGTTCCTTGTACTACCTGTATTTTATAATCAAATAACGGGGACTGTGACATTTCATGTCTTGTTTTTAATTAACCGAGCATTTTACGTTTGTGTATTTTGCCACTGAAAAGTTAGTTATCGAAGACAGCACAGCAATGGTGTTTATCCATTGCATCGCAATGCTATCAGCACGGTGATTGTTCAGCGAAACGAAAAATGTATAATTAGTCAGTGAAAAAAAATGCGTAAACAAAAAATATTTAACAGTACACCACTGGAAGATGCCAGGATAGAAGTTGTCAACATGTTGCGAGATAAGAGTGAAAAAGTCTACTTATCATTTACAACTGTATGTTTTTTGTATTCCGCTTGCATGCTGGAAGCGTCTACGTCTTGTCTGTTTTTTTTGTAGTTTGCGAGACTAGTTAAAAGCGCTTGAGGTAAGTTAAACAGGGTCGCGGACAGGGAGTAACACATCGCCGCAACTTGGGCCAGCATCTCATTTGCATATAACATCAACAGTGACTTGTCAATCAAGAGCAACATAAACAAAATTTCAGGACTTTTAATCACATACGCGTGCTTCGGTTCCCTATATTTAAAATCAATTTTGAGTATGTTCCCGCATTGACAATGCTCCGAAATGTTAACACTATCTAGCCAAGACTGTCTGGGTAAGAAAAAGCCCACGAACCTGCATCTATACCTTAAGAAAAGTAGAAAAAAAATTTGAACAAAACAAATCAAAATGATATCAAATTATTTTGTGTTAATTAAAAATCAAATTTTATAGGGAAACTTAAACAGTAAAATATAAACAGATGCAAATGCAGGTTTTGTGTTTTGGAAGTAAGCATTTACTTAACAGTACGAGGAATTAATATATTGAGTACTGTAGAATACTTTATTTTAGCAGAAAAAACTTTTTGATTGTTTTGTATGGAGTTTATTTTCACTGATTCTTGATGAGTTGAAGGTAAAACATAGGAAAAAAGATATATTCACTGAATTTTATTCCTGATGAAAATAAAAGTAAATTTGTTTGCAGCTGTTATCCCAAGGTAAAGGATCTGGTGTGGATGATACAATAGGACTGGACGTACATGCCATCAGTGAGCTGCAAGATACAAGAAAGGTCTCTGCCACGGATGATTCACCAAAATATAGCTATACATATGATGAACAGAACTCCAAATACGGTAAGATAGCAATTTATCAACTATTGTAATGTACAACTCCGCATAATGTGTTAGCAAGATTGATGAGTGTTTAGGTTCCAAAATAAATTTATCTTGGGACAGGAAATGAGAAAATACCATTGACTTCCCATTTTAGACAAGTGTGCACACTGTAATGTCACATGGTAGAACACCAAAACAAGGATAAAATAAGTTTAAATATAAATTCATGGTAACAATAGCATCAACAAAGTTGTACATCAACAATGGATATGCTGTTGCTATGACGCAAACATTCAGCAATAAAATGCAACTTTTATGTACTGTATTAGAAGTACTTTATTTTCACTTGTCTTTGTTGGGACTTTCTGTTTCAATATCTATAAGGTCACCATGTCTGTAATGTCTAAAATGGGTTGTTGATAACCATGCGTTTATTCAGCGGTTCTATCACACTCAACTACAATGTCAGATTTTGCATTATTCTTGTGTTGCAACTGTAAACAACTCAGACTAATCTATCATTTAATGTTGTCTCAATTCTCTATAGAAACCTAAAAAAAAACAAAAAAAAAACATCCCAAACAGATTCATTAGCGTTTTGGTGTAGAAAGCCCTGATGAGAAAATTAAGTATACATGTATAACAATATATTCTGTGTATCTATATCACAAATAGGGTCCTCTAATATCGGGGGGTCTGGAAAGCAGAATTTTGGGTTAACGCAATCCCTCGTATATCAACTGATAGTTAATGAATTTCATTGGTCAGTTCCTGACTCAACAAGATATTAGAATAATCACACACTGTACTGAAAAAAACAGTTAGTAGTTATTTTAGAGTTTATTTTGTTTAATTTTTGTATTTTTTGTAGTATTCAATGCGATAGTTGCTACGGTGATAGCACTGAGGAAAGACAAGCAGTTTGTGAGTGAAGTGGACAATGGGGACGAGTGCGGTATGTTGTTAGATAAGACGTGTTTCTATGCTGAACAAGGTGGTCAAATATGGGATGAAGGATTCATGGAAAAAGAAAATAATCCAGTGAGTGATAATTTAAACCTCTCTTTGAATTGTCTGGAGAATGTCCAATATGGATGCGAGTGCGAGTGAATCCTACCTTGGGGGCGCTTTGTCTATCATTGATTGCAAGATTGTTTGGCTGATCTGAATTATGATTGGTGTTCCCAGTAAATTACCCGTACATCGTATCCATATAAAGCCAGATTCTCCTGATGCTTAGCGTTCAGTTGCAGATTCTACAAAGTCACCGCCCAGAATGTACCTGTAAATTTGATGTGATCGCAATTGTACAAGAAATGTTGGCACCCATGCATGTTGTTATGGTATGAACACTGGTTGCCATAGCAATAAACTACCTACTGTAAAATACTTTATTTTCACTTGGAGTTAATTTTCGCTATTTTCACTGAAAGAATGATTCAGTGAAAATAAAATCCAGCGAATATACCTTTTTTCCTATATTTTTACATTCAACTTGCCAGAATTCAGTGAAAATAAATTCCAAACAAAACACCCAAAAAATCTTATCAGCGAAAATTAATTCCAGCTGAAATAAAGTATTTTACAGTAATCCAACTCTGTCACCATGGCACCATCTTATAATGAAGGCAAATATTTATAACTTTTGTTTGGGATGGCGTGTGAGTTGTCCTTCAATATGCCAGTTGCATCTAGGAAACAGTTGTCAAGGTGCACAGTCTCATATGTTTGTTTTCATCGTTTCTTTACCGTAGGATATTGAATTCAAAGTGACCAACGTCCAAGTTAAAGGTGGCTACATTTTACATATCGGTAAATTATCTGCTGTGGACAGCGAAGGAAAACTAAAAGTTGGTGATAAAATGAAACTTTATATTGATGAAGTAAGTACTGTTTCTATGGCGATAAAATGAAACTTTATATTGATGAAGTAAGTACTGTTTCTATGGCGATAAAATTAAACTTTATATTGATGAAGTAAGTACTGTTTCTATGGTGATAAAATGAAACTTTATATTGATGAAGTACATTGTAAGTACTGTTTCTATGGTGATAAAATGAAACTTTATATTGATAAAGTAAGTACTGTTTCTATGGTGATAAAATGAAACTTTATATTGATGAAGTAAGTACTGTTTCTATGGTGATAAAATGAAACTTTATATTGATGAAGTAAGTACTGTTTCTATGGTGATAAAATGAAACTTTATATTGATGAAGTAAGTACTGTTTCTATGGCGATAAAATGAAACTTTATATTGATGAAGTGAGTACTGTTTCTATGAATTTGTAAACAAAATTTGATATTAATTAACTTGGTTCCTGTCTCTCTCCCAATTCTAATGTTGTTTGGTTTCCATGACAAAGAAAATGCTTAATTCTTCTCTGAAACCAATAGAACATTCATGAGTTAGAAGAACCTGACCTTGTGATGGAGGCCTATTCAGTTTTTAGTGTCTGTTTTGGATATATTTTTATATATATCTATAATATAAATTTTATAATTTTTTTTTTTAATTTTAAGACAGAATGATTTTCTGTCTGCTATGTTACATACATACATTCCAATTTTGACTCAAATCTGAGATTAAAACTGACGATGTTGATTTCAGTCCTTCAAGACAGTTTGCTGCATTTTTTCTCTAATTTTTAATAGATTTTAAATTCATTGTCTCGCAGAGATTTTATCTTGTCTCATCAGTGTTTATGAATGAAAAAAGTTTTACCTTTAATTTCCTTATGCCTTACAATAAATGTTTGGTACAAACAACAAGCAGGTTTTTAGTAATTTAAAATCTGTGCCCAGAACTGCATATTTATGATGACTAGAAATACAATATACTGTAAAATACTTTATTTTAGCTGGAATTAATTTTTGCTGAAAAGATTTTTTGAGTGTTTCGTATGGAAATTATTTTCACTGATTTTTGTGAGTTGCATGTAAAATATAGAAAAAAAGGGATATTCGCTGGAATTTATTTTCACTAAATCACTCCTTCAGTGAAAATAGTGAAAATTAATTCCAAGTGAAAATCAAGTATTTTACAATACCATTAGCACATACAATATAGTCAGCCCCAAGGTACACTGTATCCAATCAACTTAAAGATCCCCAAACTAGACAGTTTATTGTGCAATGTCGGTCACATCAATTAGGACACGAACATACTTATTCAGAGGTATCATTTGACCTTTGACATTGATTACATTTGTGTTAATTTCAGGCTCGTCGTCGACCTATCATGAGTAACCATACTGGTACCCATATGCTGAACTACGCCTTGAGAAAAGTTCTTGGAGAGGCTGATCAGAAAGGTTCCTTAGTAGCACCAGACAAGCTACGATTCGATTTTACTGCCAAGGTACGTCTTTCCAGCTCATTTCACATATCTTCTCTCTGATATTATGATCTTCGGTATTTGGCCTTCTGCATGAGATGTTTCTCACATAAAGTTTACGGGGAATCTCAAGCTTGGTTTCCACAATGGCTGCTTTATAGGAGCAATGATTTTCAAAATGACATAGGTAATAGACCTTTCAATGCATTGTTTTTTTATGTGAAATTGAAACACTCGCTGCGTGATGACCACTGCCTTTTATGTGAAGAAAAAAATTGGTCAAGAATCTCATCCACTTTTGTGACCTTCCACAGATTATCGCTCATGCAATTCAAAATTAGTAGTTGGAACAAAATTGAAAACCATTCAGTTTGATTTATAATTATTAAATACATGTATAGAGAAAAGGAATATCATAACATTGTCTTATTTGTCTGCTTTTTCATCTTAACTGTACTTTATTACTGATGCAGGGTGCCATGACAACGGAGCAAGTGCAATCAGCAGAGCAAATCACTAATGAAATGGTGCAGAAATCGCAACCAGTCTATGCTAAAAATTCCCCCTTAGCCGTTGCCAAGGCGATCCAGGGATTGCGTGCAGTCTTTGATGAGGTGAATATTTGTTTGATTTTGTAGAAAAAATGGTTTGCCTCAAATCAAGTTTGTATTTGTTTAAATAATTCATACTGCTATCATTGTGCAAAGAATAACTGTGGAATGACATCAAATAAAATATGTTACTTAGCAATGAATTCCCAATTTGATGTCCAGACATCCAAATGTTGACTGTGCCAGTCAATAAAATTCAATATTTTAACTGTATTTCAGGTGTACCCCGATCCAGTACGAGTCATATCTATAGGTATACCAGTTGAAGATATGGAAGCTGATCCATCCGGTCCAGCTGGAGCAACAACTTCCATCGAATTCTGTGGTGGAACGTAGGTTAAATTCATTCATTCTATCATTAATTTAGTTTGAAGTCTGCAAGAAAAAGATACTATTGAAGAATTTACAAGTTCTTATTAGTTTTGGTACAAATCTGTTCATAGTAATAAGCTTAATTTGCATTTTAAGCATTCTTGTTCCACAGCTATCACATTGATTGTACAGTAACCAATTTCATATGAAACTTTATTACTTTCTGTAGGACTGATTAATTTGTAGTACATGTGTGTGCACTTTACATTGCTTGTTTGTATACTACTGTAAATGCATTAATTATTCGCTAGTTTTTAATTTTGTTATTTTTGCTGATAAGTAAAATCCACTAATTTAAAAATAAATCCATGTGAACATGAAGAATAACAATAGAACATTGTTTCCCTGCCAAGATGGTGACATTGCTCAAAATATCAAAATAATTGAATTAAATGCCAGTGAAAATAAATGGTTTTACAGTACAGTACAGTATTTCTTAGTATGAACTGTATCTGCTGAGTTGTTGGATAATTGACTAAGGCAATCTGCGTTGTGTCGTCACAGGAAGCGCTGTCCCAGTGTCATATGACGCCTTACTAGCCGATTTTGGCTAAAATAGCGCTCCGCCGCCTCTTTACACTAGTGTTTATACACGGAACTTGATACTTCTTTTTCCTATTTAAGTTGCTTTTTAATCGCGTATTGTAGTGAAATATTGTTTAGTGGGTGAAATATTAATGTCATAAATAATTCAATCTTCGAAACAACAGAAACTAACACATAATAACGATAATAAAATTTGTGTTTGAAGTTCGAAAGTACCTGCGTAATTTCCGGTTTCAACTAGTTCGAAAATAGAACGTCCTTGAACGCGATAAAATCACGCGTAGTACGCCTTCCGAAACAGACACTAGCAGCGTAAACTTATTGCTAATTTGGGCCCAGTTTGTTCTTACATGTTTTCTAAGTTTTATTTATCATTATTTAGTAAAAATGCCCCTTAAACGATTTAATATATCCGTAAAATACGTGGCAATCGACGGCTGACTTCGAAAAGTTCGAAATTTCGAACAAACTCCCGGCACACCTTGCGCGATATGCGTCAGATCGGTGTAGAAGACGCCGACCTGCAGCGTCAATGAGGCAATCTGATTAAAATCCGATGTAGGTATGAGGCTCCAAATTTTTTTTTTCTTTTTTTTCTTTTTCTTTATATAACCCTTTATGTTATATTTATTTGTATTTTAGTTTGAATATGTAGATTTTTTGGTTTTTACTTGTCGTTAATCAGTTCTTAGAAAATCGTGTCCCAGTCGTTTATAATATAAAGGGTTATAAAAAATAAAAAAATTGGAGCCTCATACCTACATCGGTTTTTAATCAGATTGTTGACTAAGGTAGCTCTGACAGTCATTCAGGATTATTGTAGTTACTATGTTATCTCTATTTTGGCAGCCATCTTCTAAATAGTGGTCACATCGGTCCATTTGTCATTGTAACAGAAGAGGCCATAGCGAAAGGAATACGACGTATTGTAGCCATCACTGGTGATGACGCACAAAAGGTGAGTCAAGCATTTACGATGTGTACACACTGGTTGTAATTAAAATAACGTAAGGATGATTAATTTATAACTGATAATTTGTGACGATGTGTGTTCAAAGAAATATTAAAAGCAAAATGACATCAAAATGTTTTTTTAGAGTTCTTTGCTAATTTAGTCAACTTTTATTGCATGTACTTATTTTCTTTAGGCAATAAATCGTGCTGATATGCTTGAAGAAGAAATAGACAAGCTGACACAGAAAATAAAAGACAATAGTACGAAGCAGGTGTATATGCCAAAAGAACTTAGTAAAGAAATTGTGTCAATTGGTGATGTAAGTATTTTTGTAATGGGAGTATAAACCAAGTGGCAACATCCTGCTTTCAATTTTTTTTTTTTTTTTTTACTATCCCTGTAACATTTTAAACATGACTTGTGGTTTGATGATTGTGGCACATTGTCCGCCATTTTTAATTGTCATCCTGAATTTCTGATTTGGTAATTTGAGGGAATTTGTGAGGACAGAATCTTGTGCAAGTTGCTGTGACTTCATGCATTAAGTACACTTGTGAAAATTCATGAGTGAAAATTCATGAGTAAAAATTCTTTTGTGAAATTAAAGTTGAATTTCAGTATGTTAATGTGATGCTTGTTTAACTATCTGTTCTGTGTCATTTGCAGTGTAAAAGTCTCTTAGTTGCTATGGTTACAAATGTATGGGTAACAGAGTAACCCTAAATCTTATGAATTTAAAAAAAATACGCAACGGAAAATGCCCTCCAATGACCGTTGGGGGCACCAAACCTGATATATTAACAGATATACGAATGGAGAATCTGTTTTGTCATTTGTGCATATCGTGAAAAATGATTGTGAACCTGTTTGTTGAGTTGATTGAATGCATTTCTGATGTTTGACAGGATCTGAATGTAGCAATTGTGCCGCAATGGAGAAAAGATGGGATGAGAAAAAAATTAAAAGATTTGAAGAAAATTATGGACGACTTGGACAAAGCCAGAAAAGCAGCCATAATACAAAATGTATGTAACATACGAGTTAGTTTTACCATTGAATAGTGAGTGTTCTACAAATTTATACTATTCTTGGTCATGTGACCATTGTCAAGGCCATATGTTTATATACTGGATGTGAACATATAACTGTACATAACTTCAAACCTTACTAAGACTCTGGAGCTGACAAAGAGGTGAAGTTCTTTCTGAACTATTGGCCAAAGAAGTGGTTGGAACCCACAATATCAATCCCAGCAGTTAGATTCTATCGATTGAATTACAGAATTATTGAATCATTGAATCATGGTAAATACATACATACATTAGAATGAGCAAAAGTCATCTTTTATCATCATTTACAAAATAAAATCCACATCATTTTTTCCAAAAAAGACTAGCCAATCAGGAATTATGTTCATTAGGTCCAAAATTATTAAAAAAAAAAATTTAGCACATAAAAATATGTTAATTGTAGGGCTAACCTTTTTATCGTTTTGGCGGGAAATAGTATGAAGTTCACAAAGTGTTAATACATTGTCCGTTGAAAGCCTTCTCAGATGAGAAAAAAATGATATCAGTCTGCAACGTGTTAAAACAAGAATTTGTTGTTAGTTATTTAAAATTTCATTTCTCATAATATCAGGTGAAAGAGATGACCAAGAAGTTGATAGAAGAGAAACCGAACCAACCATTAGTTGTCATGACACTAGATGCAGATTCCAACTCTAAAGCGTTAGATGCTGCGTTGAAAGAATACCGTAACTTATCACCGCAGACTGCTGCTATGTTGTTTAGTGTGGATCGAGAAAACAGGAAAATTATATGTCTCTGCCATGTGCCCCAGGTAAGGAGAATTATCTGTGTTGCCAGGACAACATCTTGCCTCTTGGAAACTAAAGCCAACCTCTGTCATGTCATAATTTCTTTTCGTTGCTCTCACAAATAAAAAATGGGCAAATGTATTTACTTTAATATAAGTGAACTTAGTGGTTCAAAGAATGGATAACACTAACCAAATGTAGCAGATAATAAACCAGACTGTAGCTAAGTTTGTGCTATAGATTTATTACGAGATAGAACTGGGTTGATGCAACATATCTCCAATCCAATTCAAAGAACAGCTGAAGTAAATTACACGTATTTTGACCAGTAGTAGCTATGGAAACAAACATGACTTTACTGTGAACAGGACTGATCAAAATAACCCGTGTTGTAAATGTTCTCTCAATGTTTTTCCATGTAGGAAGGAATTGCTAAAGGTCTGAAAGCCGGGGAGTGGGTCAGGCACGTATCAAGCTCACTGAATGGCAAAGGAGGTGGCAAAGACTCGTCTGCACAGGCATCCGGTGATAATATTAATGGCTTGGATGAAGCGAGTAAACTTGCAAAAGAGTTTGCGGAACTGAAACTGAAATAATGGCTGCTTACAATTCACAGAGGATGAAGCTTTGTTCCCGTAATACTTAACACTTCCTGTCAATCAAAGTATATCAAAAAACAACTTTCATGTGAATAATGATAATGCTTCATTTTTGAGATGAAATAAAACTAACAGTAATTAACTATCACAATGTAAGAAAATATTCTCAGAAACTTTAAAGTAATTCCAATTTATTCATATTACCCAGTAATATTACTGGTACTGTCACATTAAAGTGAAAGTTTGAGACATAAAAATTAATAAAATATATGTAAATTAATATCTAAATTGTTTTTTACAAGTCATTCACATGTATGTTACACGTTTGTCGGTCTGTCCGTCCGTCCGTCCGTCCGTCCGTCCGTCCGTCTGTCCGTCTGTCTGTCTGTCCGTCTGTCTGTCCGTCTGTTTGTTGGTGATCATTCTGTGGCAGTGTCTTTGGACAAAATAAATCTGAGTGAAAATTTTTAACACATCTCATTCTACTCTGCTTGATATGTATCCAGATATACTATTTTTTTTTTGAGTCACTAGTGGTTCCACTAGTTGAACACCTTGGATTACACCAAATTTCCAAATGACAAAATATTTCGACACATACCAAGCATTCAAATGTCTATAAATCATTCAACTTCACCAAGTCTTGGAGTTTATTGAACATTCAAGTTGATCAAATGTTCAAGCCTGACAAGGAAGTTTATAAAGTAATTTTCTGAAGTTGGTTCAATGTAAGTAATGTCAGGCCTAGCAGAAAGCCTTTCAGTCTGTAGACTTGACTGTATGTCTGTGTGTGTACTGTGACAATCACATTTTTGGCTTTTCGAAAGCTACTGCTCAAAGAAATATGGATTACTTTAGTATTGCAACAACGGGGTTCATCCTGAGTTAATGACATAATAGAAAGGATGTGAACCATGTTATGTCTGTTCGCCATGCACTCTGAAATTAATGCGAGTTTTCTCATAAGAGCACGAACCAAACTACCAAACCAATCACGAAAAAACAAAATGAAAATAAAGAAATTGATCTCTACTATAGAGGGCCTCAATCACAATTCAAAGGTTTGATATACTGTATATCACACGTGATGTGTGAAGACACTATTCATAAGTATTACCAGTATTGACTGCGACGAGAGCATTCAGGTATCCTACAACAAACAAGGAAATGTTATGTGATAATATTCTAGCCGTAATTTCATTTCAGACCACAAAATTCGTAAACAATACAAACTAATTATGTGTCCTTATTTTAAAATTCAAATGCACACAGTAAAGTGAATTAGCCAATCGTGTCTCCTCCCCCGGCTTTCCGCGGTGAGTTGAAAATTTTGACGTCAGACCGCGATCAAGATTGAATAACAAGTTTTGTAAAAAACAAAAAAAAACGCAGCAGTGATTATCGGTAAAAAAAAAAATGTTATTTGCACCAGGACTGTGTACCCAATCAAATGGTTTATCATAAGCTATGTTGTTTATATATTACTTCCTAAAATTAAAAAAAAAAAAAAAATGTGTATCTGATTCAAGTGTGATACGAAATGCCCAAACATGACAAATTGCTGTTACTTGACAGAAATATAGTAATTAAAAAAATTAATCATTTCAAATTAAACCGTATCACCATGGTTACTAAAAAGCACTTTTTTTTTTGATAGAAGTTTACTGTCATGTCACGAGGTAACAGACATTGACTAACTTGGAAACAAAACAACACTGGAACGAAACGACACTCCTCTAATATAAGCCCCGACTATAACAAAATTGGAGGGGAATTTAAACCCCAAAAGCATGTAAAATTAGTATACTTTTATATTTAAAAAAAATAATCTATTTTTATGAAACTGGGCCTAAAAAGAAATATCATAACTGCTCATTTTTAAGCGATGCCATATTATCCGGACCATTGATTTTATCTGTTTATAAGATACCCTACTTAACAGTAATGTCAGTAGTACAGGTGATTTTGAATTATTCCGCAAACTTAGGACAGAGTTGTTAATGGTGCTAGATCTAGAGGTCGGGGAAGTGGTGTCACTGTCATGTTAAAAAGTAAACTGGGTGAATTATATCTCGAACTATTCCTCCGAAAGTGGGTGTCATCCGAGTTCTGTTAGACAATTTTAAAGGGCCATAGTCGTCGCGCCACGCATGCGCGAGATGGGTCTCATATAAAGAAAGATGGCGACTTTGACTGTTGCGCAGAACAACGAGTACAAACTGAGACGTTTCCAAGCTTTATTTGGGTAATTTTTAGGTGATTGGAAGGTATCAATGTAGTCACTGGCGGTATTCAGTGCAAGTCACGTCCAGGTCAACCCACATACTTGTGATTTTCATTTGAAGAACGCATTGGATTGTGGGAAAATCAACACACATGCGCAGCGCAACGACCACCGCACTTTAACTCCTGAGTATGCGTAGCCGACAACGTAGTTTACCATAGCAATCACCACATTCCAACTCCAGCCAAATAACAATGATAATATCAGAACCAGAAATAATTATGATCAACTTCTAAATCTAGTGTAGACAAATTTTGCAGGATTTAATTGAAATGTGTCTGGAAGACAGGATTTTGAAGGGGGGAGGCTTCACCTGCGCATGCGTCAGATGGCCATAGTGTGTTAACTGTTGCGTTTTTAGCGTGTGTTGTTATCATCGATTAAGACTCAATTCCCCCGCGCACGGGGTGACAACCCTCTCGCTTTAAGTAGTATTAGAACGGTAGGTGACTCCGTGGGAAAATATATGAAATGAAAACAAATCAATTAACACGGCAAATGAATGTTTTGAGTATATCTTATGATTCTGCGTGTTATATAATGAAACTCTGAATAGAAGAATTACAAATTCAGGTGAAGACAAAATAGCTTATGCTATACATATTATTATGTATGAAACATATTCAGCAACACACATTTTAATCTTAAGCTGTTTTCCATCTTTTTTATTCATTTTAATTTTCATTATTTTCATCCTCTGTGTTAATATTCTATTCTAATCTATTCTATTCTCCCTGGCGTGTTACTACTCCTAAAACAAGAATTTAGGATTTTGGCCTTATTAAGTAACTTCATTTTTGCTATTGTCATATCCTGACATATAAGCGTGAGTAGACCCTCGCCGGCTGAACGGTACCAGAGCTCACTGTTGGGTTTGGAGCACCGCGGAGGGCGCAACTGGCGCGACCTCGTGCCACCGCTGTCGTGCGAATAGTCTCTGCAAAAAACGAAGGCAAAGATCAAATGCAATACGCGAGGGCACTGTTCGTGTAGAAGAATGATTATAAGATGGCTGCCCCCATTGTGGGAGCAATTAATGTTGTTTTCTGGTGTTTGTTTGTCCTTTTAACAGTGCTATGTGAGGAATACTCGGCGTAAGTGCTATTGTTTAATGACTGATATATCAAATGACCGACGAGATGAATTGGTATTATACAGCGTTGTAAAATGCTGAGTTGTGCTATCAACATAGTGAAATTTTATTACATGATCCGTGGTATCTGTTTATACTTACCGGTAGTTTTCTCATGGAAGTCCATGGTTTTGTGAATAGTCCAATTCTATTCCAATATTACCGAACATTGTGATTACTGATCGAACATTTTTATTTGTTGATCTAAAAACCAAGCCCGTAAAAAAAAATTAAAATATAATCTGACAAGTCGACTGTGTGTCAGAACAGCGTGAGGGTTTCAATCTGATACCGGACGATGAATATTTCTTGTTCAGTCAAGGGTCTGTATGAACAAATTTAATGAATACATGATAATCAATTTTTTTTTTATTTTGAGAGAGAGAGAGAGAGAGAACACAATATGGATTGTGTTAATGTACATAGAGCGACTGTTGTTTTACAGCTCCAGTGTTCTAGTTTAATGTTCAGAATATTATTACGGCAAAGCTTCACTTTAAAATGATCGTGGAACCACAGAATAATGACCAAGATTCTTCTCAAACTAATTATAAGATTTATTTTATAAATGAAGGCAAAACAATTTTCATTCATTCATTTATGGACTTTTTGCTTTGTATTCGCTTAGAGGTATTCTTCTATAAATAGAACCAATATGGTATTCATATCATATGCATATTAACATAGGCTATATTGCAATTCTAAATCATTATGAATTGTGGGATAGTTTTGACTGAATTGAATGTGTTTGAACACAACTCCGCCAATGCTCATGCAGCCTGACAATTCAACAACGCACTAAAATTCGGAATTGCGATAAGGTCTTCGCTGCATTAATATGCTTAGCAATAGTCGCTTACATTTTGAGTGAGAAAATTATTACCATATTTAAGCCGACAATGAATTCTAATAAACTTCATACAGTTTAATTGGCCACTCAGTAAAAGTGAAATGAATCACTACATGCAAAAATACAGATCTACAGTTATCAGTTGTGAGCATTCTATTATTCCTGAATTTACAATTCGGTATAAATGTGTTCTCTTGAGAAAGTGCACAAATTAGTGATGTGCAAATGAAATGAAAAACGCATGTATTTTATTTCAATTTACAATTTTATGTTCATCAGACTTTTAATTGTTTTGTTTAATATCCGGATGTTGTGGTCTTGTACCATAGCGTCACCCGCCATATGTAAATGGTTCGCACTGGATGTGCATCCCAGTAAAGATAGCATATTACAATGACGTTGTTGCTACTTTGCATGTACATATATCTTATATATGTGTGAGTAACAATGGTTTTAAGGTTTTAAGGGGATGGGTACACCCTAAACTTCCTCTTAAATTCCCCACCGAAATAAATAACTTGAATTTTATGAGAGGCATTTTTATTAATTGTCTTGTTTCTTTGATTCCTTTCCAGACTATTCGAGAATGATTACCTCACCCCCTATCCTTCAGGACAGCATGGACCGAAACATTCCCATCGGGTTACACGATACTGCCAAGGAGTCTGGTACGGGGACGTAACACATGAAAGTTACCCATCTCATAGTAATCCTCAACTAGAACTACCTCTTGTTGAATATAAAAGATATATAAAAACTTTGCAAATCACGGATAATTTATCTAAAGATATCGTTGGACATGTTAGTATTATAAATAACCCTATTAGGACAATCTCAGTGCTAGAACCGAAACATTCAAATGGATGCACAGAAGAGATGCGAGAGACCGTTCGAGAGACGGCTAAGCAGAAAAACTGTCTCGTGGCGATAAATGCTGGATTTTTCAATACCCATACAGGGTCGTGTCTGGGTAATGTCGTTAGCGATGGTAGACTCGTACTCGACTCTCAAGGAATACAGAATGCACATTTTGGAATCCGAGAAGATGGCAGTTTGTTTTTCGGGTAAGTTTTGTTGCATAGATTCCATCTATAGACAAATATACATGGCACAAAGATTTTACGTCATGTTTTTTTAAAACACTGTAAGTGATTATGTTTGTAAATGACACATTTTCATGAATTTTGTGCGAGTTTTTTCACAATCATCATTCAATCTCTAAAATAAAACATTTTTTTCTCCCAACCAGTCTTGTTCTGCAGTGGTTCATAGGGATTACTATATGCTTCAATACTTTAAAACTTTAATGAAATGTTTTTAGTTATTATCTGGTCACGCCATTGTGCAATGTTAATTGGAGTGGTTAACAGATGATTGATAATGTCCAGAAGAAAACAGTTTCACATCAATAAAATCAAAGCAAATACAAATTTTATTTTTTAATTTTGTTTTGTTGCTATGTTGCTATTTCTGTAAATATTTTATTTTAGCTGAAATTAATTTTTTCTGAAAATATAGGAAAAATTCTTTATTACCTGGATTCTATTCTCATAGATTTCCTTCAGTGAAAATAGCAATAATAAATTTGATGCAAAAATAAACTCCTTTAATTTAGTTTATCTTTTTTTTTGTGAATAGCAATGCAATAACTAAAATATATTTATTGCAAAATACCATATTTATACTATAAACATGTGTGTTTATTGTTTTTGTTAATTGAGTAAGCTGTGACTAGAGTCATATATAGAAGATTTGTACCATCTGTTATTTTGATTCAGTAAATACAACACAGATGCTACTACCGGTAGTCATGTGATATGTCATGTGACACACTAGCAGTTTGTAGTCCTCAGATTTGGTGAGCTTGTGAATGAATACGTTGAAACAATAAAAAAGACGTGATAAGAGATTGAGAGCATTTCTTCTAATAATCTATTTGGATGTGCTTGCTGAGTGATGGTTGCAGTAAAATTCACCCATAAACACATGGGATACATTCAGCACTGTCTTAGTGGTCAAAGGTCAGAGATATTACTGTAATCACTCTATTAGTTGGACCAGCTAGATTTTGTTGAGATTATTTATTATTTTCTCATAACCATTCAACCACCAACTTTGATGTTCATTTTTGTTGGCAAAAAATATAAACCAGATACATGTAGACTATTTAGTCTTTCAGTGTTTGTTTCCATGTTTCACAAAATTATGTGCTAAAAAATCATATTACATCTGAGTAAATTCTACTACTTTTTTTGCAGTTATTTATCTGAGAGTGATTTAGTAGATAAAACAAATCCATTTGTTCAGTTAGTTGGTGGTGTGGTATGGCTTGTTAGAAATGGACAAAGCTACGTGAATACAAGTAGATATATAGAATGTGGTGATACAGAGGAAACAGGTGAGTTTAATAATTAGACTATTCTTATTGGCTGTCATGTGACTTGTTGTTGGTTAGTTTTAGAAGTTGATCTATCAATATTGAGTGGTTGTTACTGACTATTCTGCTGAAGTCAGTTTATGCAGGAAGGCCACCACAAAACTGTGATTCGCAATTTTGAATTAAATTGTAATTGCGTTTTTTCAGAATCTTGTATATACATCTATTTGACTCAGTTTTTGCCGTTTAATTTAAAACATGTCATAACTTTCATAATTGTCTATAAATATAAAAATATATGTATGTTTATTTGCTGGTGTCATGTTAATAGAAGAGGTGGAATATTCATTTGGTTTATTTTTTGCTCCAAAATACAATGTATTCTAGACTATGAGTTGTTTTAATTTATTTTTTAAACAGCGCAAAAAGAAATATCATTTTGTTTCTCACATATTTATTTTCAGATTTTTGCCATAAAACAGCTTTTAATTACTTTTCAGCCTAAATAACTGAAATTATTATACATCTGACATTGGAAACAATATAATTCAACCATTTGTGAAACCCTATATAATTATGTTCAAAACCATTCAAGAATCTAGATGTATTGGTTTGGCTCGATATTTAACAATGGCTTACAGGATGTGCTTGTGAAATGAATCTCGGCCAGTTTTGCCATTTGATGTTCAGCCTAAGGTAGTATTTGAACCACTATGCTACCAGTGACCGGTTTATACTGAATCATTAACATATTACTTTCTTACCATAGAATCATTTCTGTAATTGACGTCAGCAATCGTGCTAGAATAGAACAAATGCAGTATACATGTATATGATTGTGACGTTTTTGGGACTACATTATTGTATGCGTCAGAATACATACTTTTGTAATGGTGTTATGTCACCTGATCACCCGAGTGTATTGATATGTAAAAAGTAGTGTCGTTGGTGTAACTGAAAATGTGTTCTTGAGTCAACACATCACAATGGTAAAATTGTGAAACATTTATTTAAACAATAATGAACCCCCCCCCCCCCACACAGTGCCATATTGGATGAGTAGAAGAGTCTCTGGCAAGATAATGCGTGAAGTGAAACTGAACATTTTATTGTGTCCAGACCCTTCTTCAAATTCAATATGATGCTGTGAAAGATCCATTATTGTTGTTGTAATTCACCACCATCAGAATTGAACAAATTTAGTTAGATTTGGGGACTTTTTCTTGAAATTGAATTTACTTGCGAATATAGGTTTACATTATTGTGTGATAATATAAAACCATGACATCATAAAAACCTCAAATTCTGATAATGGTGATTTATAATCTTCAGTAGCTTTGTAAGGGTCTGTGTGTTTTGTTCTTCAGGCACAGTAGATGAATTCATTCGTGTTGTTGCGGCGAGAATGGCTGTCGGGCATGACAAAGATGGCAGAGTGGTACTGATTCAGGTAGATGGTGAAACATGGAAAAAAGGGTGAGTTCTTCATGAAAGTTAGTCTCTATTGATAGAATTTTTAAAAATACTTTTTGTGAAATAAAAAGTAGTTTTTATTCTTTGGTTTGAATAGTTTTCTAGATGTTGCCCAGATCAAATGTTTTTTAAATATGGCAAAAATGCAGAAACAACTGATTTGACATATTAAAAAATTTGGGAAATTTTCCAAGCTAGAAGTGTATAAAAAATGGCATTTGATATACTGTTAATGATAATCATGACTTATTTTAGACTAAATAGAAAATTTCAACTACATAGGGATGTTATTGACTGATGGGATATCCAATGTGCAAAAAATTATAATATGTATTTATAACTAATTTGAGTGATGGTCATCGAATAGAGACTGTCAGAGAGAAAAATACTAAATATTAAAAATAAGATCATGTTCTGTTCTACCATTTAATACCTGTAGTATAATAACATAGTGTCATAAATGTAACTACCTCTCAGTATAAAGTTTAATTTATTTTAATTTCAACAACTTGAAGGAGTACACAGGACATGAATGAAAAAAATTACAAGTTACATATTGTGTTCACACATGCACAAACCCACAAAAAATGATTAGAAAAAAAAAAAAAAATTTATTCATTTTAAAAATTTCATGAAATGAAATGTATAATATTGTTTTTTCTCTTGGACTAATGGCTTAAAAATATTCCTCTTCAGAGCCAACTTAGACGAGTTTGCTGCTTTCCTGATAGATTTGGGAATCATAAATGCAATCAACCTTGATGGCGGTGGATCAGCTACTTACGTGGTGAATGGAACCACTATCAACTACCCTACAGATAAATGGTAAGGAGTATGGATGTAAAATTATGAATTTCAATAGTTTTCATGTTTTTAAAAATAAAATGTGGGGTCTCAATTGTAATTATGGTGAGTTTTGTATCACAAGCCATTATTCAACACTGAGGGCGCTATCACCAGATATGATGTCTGAATCAGTGTTTGAAATTACTACCCACCCGCATGTACAGAGGCACGAAATCTACGGAGAACCACTGTTAGATGTATTTTTTCATTCATGTCCTGTGTGTTCCTTAAAGTAGTTGAAATTAAAATATATGATTGAAAAATAGCTGATTCATTCCTACAATGTTACATTCTTGTTTACCAGTGCTGGAAGTGATATGTATCGATGTGACCGGCCGGTTTCCACTGTCCTGTGTGTTCATGAACCTGAATGCAACCCACAGAATTGTAGTAACCATGGTGACTGTGTATTGGGAACATGCAACTGCCATGAGTATTGGAGTGGTACAAGTTGTGATACCCTGCAGTGTGGAACATCAAATTGTGGTCTCTATGGCAACTGCACAGAAGGTGATATCTCATTTCATTGTTTTGATAATGTTTTATTATTATTTACGAAAACTCAGTTTTGTACACATAAGTTATTGTTTATTTGGAATAGATTCATTTAATGATAACTCACCTATTGCTAACATACCTAACACTAACATATATAATGCTAACACACCTAATGTTACCACACCTAATGTTACCACACATAATGTTAACGCATCTAATGTTAACACATCTATTGTTAACACATCTATTAACACATCTAATGTTAACACAGCTAATGTTAACAACCTAATGTTAACACACCTAATGTTAACACACCTAATGTTAACACATAATGTTAACACACTTAATGTTAACATACCTAATGCTAACACACCTAATGCTAACACACCTAATGCTAACACACCTAATGCTAACACACCTAATGCTAACACACC